CTTGCTTGGCTTTTTTGCTCCTGGCTGGTGCTGTACCCCTGAGCTATGTCTCCATTTTTGGCTTTGCTTTGCTAGTGAATTATAGATAAGAATCTTTGGAGGGCTGCACTGAATCTGGATTCTCAGATCTCAGCCTCCTAAGTAACCAGGATTATAGGTGCCAGCCACCACCACACGGGTTGGTTCACCTGATAATCGTTCATTTTGCTATGTGAATTTCATTTTGAAAAACAAAACAGTGATAGAGTGAATATTTGAGCAGTGATCTTTTTTTACACACTTGAAGAAGCCATACTTAACAAAGAGTGCCAGGATATAATTAATAAAGACAAGGAAAGCAAGCTGGTAGAAAATAAGCTGTACAAACATAAACAGGCATGAAACAATAAGCCCTGTGCCTGGCCCTGGGATTCAGTAAACTTATAGGCTATATATATATGGCCTTTTTCTGGGAGTACTCAGGGATCACACAATATGGTATCTAGGGTGCTATGGCTTTCCAGTGGCTATGAGATTAAAGACTACGAATTCATGTCATGGGAATAGGGTAATTACTACCCTATGTGAAGCTCTCAATAATGGCTGCCTGTCATCATTTCTATCCTGAGTTTTCCATTACAGCGACTCAGCTTTTTCATTTTTCATAATAGCACATTTTTGGAGTTCTAGACCCTTCCCACCACTGAAAAAAAAAAAGACAAGGGAAAGGAAAACCAGAAGGAAATGAGAAGGTCTGAGTGACATGGTTTGTCCTCATATATTCTTCCTTTCTTCCTTTCTCTCTCTCTCTCTCTCTCTCTCTCTCTTTCCCTCCCTCTCTCTCTTTCCCTCCCTCTCTCTCCCTCTCTCTCTCTCTCTCTCTCTCTCTCTCCTCCCTCCCTTCCTTCCTTCCTTTCTTTTTGAGCCAATACTGAGGCCTGGGTGTTGTCCCTGAGCATTTTTGCTCAAAGCTAGCACTCTATCAACTTGAGCCTTAGCTCTGTTTCTGGCTTTTGGATTGTCAATTGGATAGGAGTCTCAAGGACTTTTCTGCAAACCCCTCCCCAGCCCCCCCCCCCCCCCCCGCTCTAAATAGTAATCTTCAGATCTCAGCCTCCTGAGAAGTTAGAATTACTAGTGTGAGCCATGGATGCCTGGCTTGTCTTTGTATTCTTTATTGCTAGTTGAATGCAGAAGTAGTCTTAAAATACACCACGAATGAACAAATAAACAAGTACTACAAGAACAGAACCTATTCCTATCCTCTGACAAAAGCTAATCAACAAAACAAGGGGAAAAATATCCAAAGATGAGCACATTGTTGATACACATTGCCTCAAGAGACTGAATAAAAAGAAATGACTTACTAATGCAGCCTATTATACTAGGGGGAAAAAACCCAAAATATTTAATTTCTCTTATCACATAACCATTTTTATCCAACCTGACAACTCTGTAATTAGAGTCAAGATCTTAGAGCTTCTGCTGTCTTTTCCATGTGGGTTTTTGTTGTTGTTGTTTATTTTGCAGCTGCAAAGGCTTTTCTGCCAGGGACCCTGCAGTAAGGGGATTTAGGAATTCCTGCCTGTCAGTACAAAACCAAGAAAAGATTCTGCTAACTTCCAGTGCTTCAGAGATGAGCACCATTTCTCTTTTCATATTGCTGTTCTCAAGAAAAATAGACAATGGTGGGTGTAGGTGGCTCATACCTGTAATCCTAGCTACTCAGAAGACTGAGATGTAAGGATCATGGTTCAAAGCCAGCCTGGGCAGGAAAGTCCCTGAGGCTCTTATCTCCAATAAAGTACCCAGAAAATGCCAGAAGTAGCACTTAGGCTCAAATGGTAGAGTACTAGCCTTGAGCACAAGGAGGCTCAGGGACAGAGTGCAAGCACTGAGTTCAAGCCCCAGGACCAACAAAGAAAAAAAAAAAGATGGATAGATAAAGTGTAGGTCCCAAGGTTTCCTTTATTTGCAATAATTAGTATATGTCTAGGATAATCTTACCAGAAAAGCAGAACAAGGTCAAAGCTATGCACATATGACCATATAAGATGATGCTAAGTGAAATGAACCCCAAGATAGGGACATAAAAGGTTTTATCTTTGTTGCTGTTGTTTCTAATGTACTGTGTGATTTTTTTGTTTGTTTGTTTGTATGTTCTCCCCCTATGGTATAACCCCTGTTGCCACTGTATTTGATTTTGTGCCCTGCATCTTGTGTATACATTTTTCTAATTTGAGGAGGGGAAGGTAAACAATAAAATGCTGAAACAAGGAAACAGGTTTGACCCATTGTAACAATAAGACATACAAGACACCATGTTGAAAATGAACTTTACAACAGGGCAGGGGTGGAGGGAACGGATAGTAGAGAAAAAAACAAAGGAGAGGGTAAAAATGCTCTATAGGAAATATACTCATTACTTTACTCATGTAACTATAACCCCTCTATACAGTATCTTTACAATAAAAAAATCATATACACACACAAAAGTGTATGGTCATGACAATTAAAAAAAATAGCCTTCTGCCAGGTGCTGGTGGCTCACACCTGTAATCCTAATTACTCAGGAGGCTGAGCTCTGAGGATCACGGTTCAAAGCTAGCCCGGGTAGGAAAGTCCGTGAGACTCTTATTTCCAATTAACCACCAGAAAACCGGAAGTGGTGCTGTAGTGCAAGTGGTAGAGCATTTACCTTGAGCTGAAGAGCTCAGGGACAGCGCCCAGGCCCAGAGTTCAAGCACCACAACTGGCCAAAACAAAACGTTTTAAAGCCCTTTGCTTTTTCCTGTACATGAATACATGAGAAGATTGACTTCAGGATCCCTTTGGAAACCAAAGGCTGAAAATATCTCGTCTTTATATAAAACAGCCTAGTATTTACATATGTCATGCATCTTCAAGTAAACTTTGAATCATCTCTTCATTACTTATAATGTCTAACAATGTAAATGCCATATAAATAAAAGCTATATTATATAGATATTTTCTTTTTTTTTCTGTTCTTGGGCCTTGAACTCCATGTCTGGGAGCTGTCCTTGAGTTTTGTGCTCAATCATATCACTCTACCACTTGAGCCACAACTCCACTTCTGGCTTTTTTTTTGTAGTGTGGTGGAAACAGGAATCTCACGAACTTTTCTGCCTGCACTGGCTTCAAACTATGATCCTCAGATCTTGGTCTCCTAAGTAGCTAGAATTATGAGCATGAGCCACTGGCACCCAATTATGGATATTTTCTGAGGGATGAAGAACTCCCAGATAGGGAGGGCCAGCTATATTATGTATTTCCTGTCCAATTACCAAATTTGCTAGAATATACAATGTTTCTACTATAACACAATTAGTGTGAATTCCTGAAAAAACTCACATTTTGCAAGAGTTTTGGGGGAAATCTGGAATGAAGTACTCCACTCAAAACATATCAACTGCAAGGTATAAGTGGCTCATACCTATAATCCTAGCTACTCAGGAGGCTGAGATCTGAGGATCACAGTTCAAAGCTAGTCCAGGCAAGGAAAGTCTGTGAGACTCTTATCTCCAATTAACCACCAGAAAATCAGAAGTGGCGCTATGGCTCATGTGGTTGAGTGCTGCTTTGAGCTGAAGAGTTCAGGGATCATGCCCAGGCCCAGAGTTCAAGCACCTCAACCAACAAAAAAATAAAAACATAAACAAAAACACCTATCAACGGACTCACAACTGTAATCCTAGCTACTCAGGAGGCTGAGATCTGATGATCATGGTTCAGAGCCAGCCCAGGCAGGAAAGCCCGTGAGACTCTTATCTCCAATTAACTATCAAAAAAGCCAGAAGTGAAGCTGTAGCTCAAGTGGTAGAATGCTTAACCTTGAGCAAAAAAGTCTCAAGAACAGTATCTGGGCCCTGAGTTCAAGCCCCAGAATTGGCATTTAAAAAAGAAGAAATAAAAACCTTATCAACATCAAAATCAGTAAGTGAAAATATTGAGTGGTCATTTAGGCACAGGGCCATGTGGCTCTCTGTATAGCTACTGGCTAACACAACGAATATCAAAAATACATAAAAACAATGCACAGTAAACCAAGCCTGGCAAATACTAGGTGGACAAGAGCTCTAAGACAATAGTCATACAAGGGTACAACTTCATCTGTCTGGGGAGGGGACCAGAGAAGGTGACCGTTGTCACACACACACACACACACACACACACACACACACACACACACACAAGCAAGCATGCATACACATGCATATACAGAGAGAGAGACAGACAGACAGAGACAGAGAAAGAGACAGAGCATTAAGCGCTGGTGACTCACACCTGCAATCCTAGCTTCTCAGGAGGGTAAGATCTAAGGGTGGCAGTTTGAAGCCAGGCTGCACAGGAAAGTTTGTGAGACACTTATCTCCAACTAACCACCAAAACTAAGCCAGAAGTGAAGCTAAGACGCAAGTAGTAGAGTGCTAGGCCTTGAGCGATAATGGGTAAGGGACAGGGAGGGCCCAGGCTGTGCTTTTCAGCTCCAGTATTAGAACAAAAAAATAAGAAGACTGAGAGAGGGAGACAGGGAAGAGAAAGATAAAGGGAAAGAAAGAGGAAGAGGGAAAGGAACAGCAAGATAGGGAGAGGGAGAGGGAAAGGGAGAAGGAGAGGGAGAGATGGGTGGTTAGCTAAGGCTCTATCTTGTCCTGTTCAAGGTCAAAAATAAGTCCGTTCCTATTATCTTAGCTCTGTTTGCTTAGGAAAATTTAACAAACCAAAACAACTTCTACTTTCCACAAACATCTTGTTCCTTTTTACCAATCACATTAGAGATAGGCTGCCTCACAGAACAGAGCATGCAGTATTCATATCCTCATCTGAGTGGGCCCAACATCCTTGTGGGGGCAGCCTGCTGTCCAGAAGCAGAGAGGCTTGAAACCTAGAGTGGAAGCTTTCCTCTATCTTATAGCTCAGCTCTCTACCTTTTAAGGAAATAATTCCTAGGCAGTAATGTGACCACAGAATCAAACCAGCAGCAATGTGTGAATACTTACATATAATATGTTGGGTAGAGTCCTTCAAAATACCAGCAATGTTTTTTGGCTTCTGAGCACTAGAAATAGAAGCAAGAGAAATTTTGTTAGTGGTAAGTAGCTTGCATGTTTCTGAGAAGATCTTGCAAAGGTTACAAGGAAGGTGCAGAGGATATTGCTCAAAATATAAAAAGCTGTGGGATCTGGGAAGGCAGTAAGAGGGAGAGACTCCCCCCTCCCCACTTTTTCAAAAGCTTCTTTCTTCAAAAGTTTGAATAAGCTGGGTACTAGTGGCTTCCACCTAGAATCCTGCACTACTCAGGACTGAGATCTGAGGATCATGATGCAAAACTAGCCTGAGCATGAAAGTCTGTGAGATTCTTACGTCCAATTAATCACCAAAAAGCTGGAAGTAGAGCTGTAGCTCAAATGATCAAGCACCAACCTTGAACAAAATAAAGCTAAGGAGCAGCATCCAGGTTCTGAGTTCAAGCCCCAGTACTGGCACCAAATCAAAAAATAAAGTTTTTGTAAGGGATGAAAACATCTATTTTTCTAACTTTTCACATTTAAAAAAAAAGTCATATAAATTTAATTAAACTTTCCAACTTGGGCCTGGCAGAATGACTCCCACAAAGGGCTATTCTGCCATCAACAAAATGGTGACCCAAGAATATACCATCAATGTTCACAAGCACATCCAGGGAGTAAGCTTTAAGAATCGTGCCCCTGGGCTGGGAAGGTGGCTCAGTGGTAGAGTGCTTGCCTTGCATGCATGAGGCCCTGGGTTCGATTCATCAGCATCACATAAGCAAAAAGAAAAAAGCCGGAAGTGGCGCAGTGGCTCAAGTGGTAGAGCGCTAGCCTTGAGCTGAAGAGCTGAGGGACAGCGCCCAGGCCCAGAGTTCAGGCCCCACAACTGGACCCAAAAAAAAAAAAAAAAACCAACCAAGAATCGTGCCCCTCGTGCATGCAAAGAGAACTGGAAGTTTGCCATGAAGAAGATGGGAACCCCAGATGTGTGGACCAGGCTCCACAAAGCTGTCTTGGTCAAAGAAATAAGGAATGTTCCATATCAGATCCATATATGGTTACCCAGAAATTGTAATGAGGATGAAGATTCACCAAACAAGCTCTGTACTTTGGTTAAACTACATCCCAGTTACCACATTCAAATGTTTACAAGTTGTCAATGTGCATAAAAACTAATCAGCAAGTGTCAGATAAAGCAATAAGCCTGAAAATTAATTAAAAAGGTAAGTGATCATCAGGCGCTGGTAGCTCACGCCTGGGATCCTAGCTACTAGGAAGTTGAGATCTAAGGATTGTGGTCCAAAGTCAGCCTGAGCAGAAAAGCCATGAAACTCTTATCTCCAATAAACCATCAGAATACCAGAAGTGGTACTGTGGCTCAAGTGGTAGAGTCCTTGCCTTGAGCTGAAGAGCTCAGGGATAGTTCTCAGGCCCAGAATCCAAGCCCCACAGCCAAAAAGAAAAAAAAAGAAAGTAAATTGATAGACAAACTTTTTTTTTTTTTTTTAGTCAGTTATGGGGCCTGAATTCACGGCTTGGGTGCTGTCCCTGAGTGTTTTTGCTCAAGGCTAGTGCTCTGCCACTTTGAACCATAGCGCCTCTTCTAGTTTTCTGGTGGTTAATTAGAGATAAAAGTATCATGGACTTTCTTGCCCTGGCTGGCTTTGAACTGCTTTCCTCAGATATCAGCCTCCTGAGTAGCTAGGATTACAGGTATGAGCCACCAGCGCCCAGCTGACAATAATTTTTGGAAAAAAAAACAAAGATAAGGGTACTGGGGATCTAACTCAGGGCCTCAAGCGTGCTAGCAGGAAGTATTTTACTTGTATACAGTATAATACCTCAGATTTACAAAACATATATGCAATAAAGCACTAAGACTTCTATTTTTGTTTGTGGAAGACATTTCTTATAGTGTTATCATTTCCAAGTCTTTATGTTTCACAGTATTCCAAAAAGCCATCTAAAAGACCATTCATTCTGTACTGGCAGACCTATGTCTGCCTAGGTCAGAATTCTCTCAGCAACATCTGGCCCAGATGTGCTCTCAAACGCAAGAAGAGAAAGGAGAGGGAGGGGACAAGGAAAGACAATGAACTCCTGCTTGGAGCTTTCCACACTATATCCTCCACCTGATCTGGTGAATGTAAGAGCCCCAAACCCAAAGGGCAGGGCAAAGAAAGGCAGGTGAGTCTGATCTTGGAGTGGGAGGCAGATGCCACCCTACTGGTTCCTATCTCCTCCCCACAGTGAAGAAGACAAACCAAACTTATCAACTACTCAGGGAGATCCCAAAGCAGAAATGCTCTCTCCTTACCTGAGCAAGGATTTTCTGAAATATTTCCACTCATCCCACTTATTTTTGTAATTTACCACTTCTTAGCATTCTGATCCAAGTTACTGGCCTCTGTATATGTAAATAAACTTTTAAAACTGTAATACAAAGCTACTACCACAGTAAGAACTCAGATTTAAAAAAAAACAGAAAAGAAAAAAAGTTTGCTTTGGGCCCCCACAAGGGCTTACTGTCTTGTAACGCCCCATTACTCAAGGACAGAGGGTACCCAGATTGGTCAGTCCCTTCTTGGTTTGCCCCAGACCCAGCAGGTGACTGAGGAGGCCCTCCTGCTACAGTCTAACCAAGAGAGAAATAGACCCAGATTCTACAGCTGCATGCCAAGGCAGAAATAAATTCAAATATTCTGTGTTACTCTGGCTAAATTAGATGGGTTAGAAAACTAGCATGAAACAGTGAGCTTTATGGAATGTGCTTTAAGACACTCAGAAGCAAACTCAGTTGGCTTTCAGTGACCCAATTTTATTAATGAGAAATGAGTTTAATTTAGCCTAGGTTAGCTCCTGTCTACTTCAAGAAATGAGGTTCAGACAGCCGAAGAAATCAATTTATTTGGGCAGGAAAGAGCAATTTCAGGTCTCTGACCCAGGTTATAATTTATTTCACCAATCCTCTGGGGCTAAACTGAGAAACACAGAGTGTTTATTTCTTGTGGCATTTTAAATGGATCTTCTTAATTACCTATCACCACCAAGGAAGACATACCCAAGAATCTGACACCCAAGGTCTACATAATTGGGAAACAGGCTCCCTTGGTGGCTGCTGGACCCACCCCTTTTTTTCTGCAGTCCTTGCTGTTCCTACAGGCAGCCCTTTGGGGACAATCTACAGACTGATGAGCTGGGGCTCGTGGTGGCTGGTAAGCATGGTAATGGACCAGGGCGCCTGTGGCTCACGTCTGTAATCCTAGCTACAGAGGCTGAGATCTAAGGATCATGGTTCAATGCCAGCCAGGGTAGCAAAGTCTGTGAGACTCTTATCTCCAATTCACCACCAGAAAATTATAAGTGGCCCTGAAGCTCAAGTGGTAGAGCACTAGCTTTGAGCTGAAGAGCTGAGGGACAGCACCCAGGCCCATCTGAGCACCAAGCTCAATGTTCAAGCCCCATGACAAACAAAAAAAGAAAACAAAATGGGTGAAACTGGAAATAAAGACACTTGCTTTGGGACTTTTTTTTTGGTCAGTCGTGGGGCTTGAACTCTGGGCTTGGGTGCTGTCCCTCAGCTCTTCAGCTCAAGGTGAGCACTCTACTGCTTGAGCCACAGCACCACCTCCGGTTTTCTGGTGATTTATTGGATATAAGAGTCTCATGGACTTTCTGCCTGGGCTGGTTTTGAACCACAATCCTCAGATCTCAGCCACCTGAGTAGCTAGGATTACAGGTGTGAGCCACCAGCACCCAGCGGTACTTTTTTTTAAAGGGGCTCCCTAAACCTAAGCTGCCACTTGTTTGTTTTCTCAATTTACTTCATTTTATTATAAAGATGATGTACCTCTGTACAATTACATGAGTAAGTAATGAGTTCATTTCATACAGTGTGTTCTGTTCCCTTACTCTCTCCCAGTCCCTGCCTCCCATCTCCACCTATGAGTTGTATAATCCACTTTCCTCTATTTTCCAGTGAGATCCACTGCTGCACCTTTTCACCATTTATCTGGAATTCCGTACCCTCCCTCCACTCTCCTGAAGACATACACATGAATACACTATACATTAGAAGAAGAAGAAGAAGAAGAGGAGGAGGAGGGGGGGGAAGAGAGGGGGAGGAGAATGACAACAGTGGCTCATGCCTGTAATCCTAGCTACTCAGGAGGCCAAGATCTGAGGATAGTGGTTCAAAGCCAGACTGGGTAGGAAAGTCCATGAGACTCTTATCTCCAATTAACCACCTGAAAACCAGAAGCGGCACTGTAGCTCAAGTGATAGAGCACTTGCCTTGAGCTGAAGAGCTCATGGACAGCACCCAGGCCCAGACCACCACCACCAACAACAACAAAAAAGAATCATCAAAAAATTAAAATTAAAAAGGAAGAAAAAGAGAAATCAATCTTGTTTCCATATCTTGGAGTTCATATATATAGGCATATAAGCATTGTTTCTTTGTGTTTCTCTCCTGAGTATCCTCTTTTGATTTCACCGTGTATATCTAGAATCCTGTATAATTTATCACATCCCAGTATCTTTTATATCTAATTTCTGCCTGTCAGAGAGAACATGTGCCATTTGTCTCTCAGCTTGGCTTACCTCAGTTCACATGATTTGTTCTACTTCCATCCATTTCCCTGCAAATGAGATAATTTTATTCTTTCTAATGGCTGTATAAAATTCCATTGTGTATAGGATCCACTCATCTATTGTGGGGCATCTGGGCTGTTTCCATATGGTGGCTATTGTGAATAGTGAGCCACCTGTTTGGTATGCCAGTCCTATACCTCCTGATTTCCAGGATAGCATCAACAGCAACAGAAAGAAGAGAGACAGGATCCTCCCTTCACACCTTCACACCTGTAGTCCTAGCTACTCACAAGGCTGAGATCTGAGGATCGAAGTTTGAAGCCAGACCAGGCAAGGAAGTCTGTGAGACTCTTACCTCCATTAACTACCTGAAAACAGGAAGCGTCTCTGTGGCTCAAAGTGGTAGAGCACTAGCCTTGAACACAAAAGCTCAGGGATAGAGCCCAGGCCAGAG